CCTGTCTTCAAGTATTGGAAGGACTCTGGAGGAGAGATTTAACTTATTCTATTTAGTCTCAAAGGGCAGAACCAGGAAAAATGGATAGAACTTGCAAAGAAGTAAATTGAGGCTTGATGTCAAGAAAAACTTTCTAATAATTAGAAGTTTAAAAGTGGATTGAGCTACTTCAAGAGACAGTGGGTTCCACCTTCTCAAAGATCTTCAAACAGTCAAGAACACTTAGTAATAGGAGGAATTCCTTTCATCTACAGGATACACTAGAGGGCTGCTAAGGGCCTTTACAATTTTTAGCTTTTGCATTTCTGTAAATCCTCATCTTCCTTTGGGGCTTAGTTCAGGAACTACCTCCTCTACCTGTTAGTGATCTCTCTCATCTCAAAGTACCTGCATACAGGTTGTATCTCCTCCAGGAGACTATAAACTTGAAGGTGAGAACTGTTCATGGCTATCTTTGTATCATTGTATACAATCACTTGCACATAACTGGGCTTCAATGAACACTTGTTTAAATTAATTCTGCCACATGGTGCAGTAGAAAGAAAGCCAGTTTTGGAGAGATCTGTGCTCAAATCTTAGCCATGCCATTTATTACTTATGTGCTCTTAGGCAAGTTGTTGAAAATAAAAATGAATAATATTAACTACCATTGAGAAAATGCTTTAAAATTTGCATAAAGCCTGACAAATATTATCCCATTTTAACCTCATTTAACCTCATAACCTCCTTTTAACCTTGGGAGGCAAGTGTTATTATCTCCAATTACATGATGAGAAAACTAAGGCAGACAGCGGTTAAGTAATTTGCCCAAGATCACATGAATATTGTGTGTCTGAGGCTGGATTTGAACCCTAGTCTTCCTGACTCCAGGCCCAGTGCTCTATCTACTGCTCCACCTGGCAGCTTCTCTGGACCTTACTTTGCTTATCTATAAAATGGGGAGGAAAATGTGTGTGGATCAAATGTCTTCTAAGTTCTCTTCCAGGTCTAAATTTGTGATACTCCCAAAAGAGATCATAAAAATGGGAAAAGGGCTTCATCACTGTGCTAGACAAGATCAGAGTTAATATGGACTTGGTTGAAGAGCCAGACTCAAAGAATGTCAACCACAGTTCCTAGGTATCTGTCCTTGACCCTGTGCTATTTAATATTTTTATCAACTGATTTTGATAGAGGCATAGGTGATATCAAATTTAAAGATGACCCAAAATTAGAGGAGATAGCTAGCCAAGATCTATAAAGGTGGCTAGGTGGGTTAGTGGATAAAGAACTGGACTTGGAATCTAGAAGACCTGAACTCAAATCCAGCCTCAGATCCTTACTAGCTGTGTGACCCTAGGCAAATGATTTAATCACTTAGTTTCCTTGCCTGTAAAATGGAAATAATAATAATAATACCTACCTCCTAGGGTTGTTATGAGGATCATTTGAGAAAATATTTGTGAAGCACTTTGAAAACCTTAAAATGTTACTTAAGTGCTAGTTATTAGTACTATTATTGATGGGCTAGATAGAAAATTGAGCCATCTCTAATGAGATGAAATTTAGTAGAAAAATATAGTCTTACAGTCCCCAAAATCAATTTATTTTTTTATATTTATATATTCTTTAGGCTTTCAAATTGTTTACATGTATTATCTGATTTAAGTTTCAGAACAACCCTGTGAGGAATATAATGTAGACATTAACATATTCATTTTGAAACTCTCTGAAGCTCAGAGAGACTAAAATAATTTGTTTATCCTCGTACAGCCACTAAATATCTGAGATAGGACTTGAATCCTCATCTTCCTAACTACAGGTTAATGTTTGTTTTTTTCCATAAAATATCAACTTTTCAATTATAAGATGGAGGGAGTATAGTTAGTTCATCTAAAAAATATTTGGAAGTTTTGAGGTATCAAATATGAGTCAGTCACATGATATAACAACAACAGTTTAATGCAGTCAAAATTAATTAAGAGACATATAATGTCTAGGAATAAGGAAATGATAAGTCTCCTCATGCTCTGTCCTGGTCAGACCACATCACGAATATTTAGGAAGGACAATGATAAGATATAGATGTTCAGATGAAGGCAACCGAGATGGTGAAGGATCTTGAGATCATACTATATAAGAATGAGTTTAAGTAATTGAGGATGTTAAACCTGAAAAAAGAAAAGAAAAGAAAACTTGGGGGGGGTGGAAAAGGACATAAAAGTTACTTTTAAGTATTTGAAAGCTGTCACATGGACAAGAAACCAGACTTGCTCTGCATGGTCCCAGAGGACAGAACTAGGAACAGTGGATAGCAATGACAGAGAGGCAAATTTAGCCTTGATGTAAGGAAAAATTTCCCAACAATTAGAGCCATCCACAAGTGTCATGAGTTGTCTCAGTCGATAATTATTCTCCCCTTATTAGAAGTACTGAAGTTAAGATAGGATGACTACTTATGATGTATTTTGCAGAGGGAATTGTTTTTCAGGCAATAGGTTAGACTAGATGGTGATTGAATTCCCTTGGAATTCCTATCCTTGAGAATCTTTCATGAATCCTATATGTTGTGGATGTTTAGATGTAGACTCAACTGAAGGTAAAAAGATAGACCAGGGGTTCTCTTGGGATCCTTTCCAGTTCTATGATATTTTGATAATAGAACCCTCAATTCATTTCATGTGATGCATTCTTGGGCTGACAAAAGCAGGGCAAGGCTAAATTTGCATTGAGACTAAGTACATAGTCTCGTGTTATTTCTGCACCAGTCTAACACTGCACAGGCCTTGGGTAGCCAAGAAAACAAATATAGTCACCTCTAATTGTCCACATTCCAAGCCATGTATGTGCCATCTCATATAAATTAATGGCATGGGGCACCATCTAGTGGTTTGGAAGCCTTGTGTATTAAGCTATGCTGGTGGTTAGCTGTGTGGCTTCAAAGACAATACTTTTATCTCTTTTTTTCAGCTTCTTGTGGAAAATATTTCCATAGTATGTCAGTTTTTACATACAAGATGACAGAAGTTTTCCCTCTGCAAATTCTACTTAAATCAATTAAGTTAGCTCATCTACATAGGTGGGTGTTTAATGGATTGTTAGAGTATTTCCTGACTGAATTGTTACTCGTTAGTTATAATAGGAACTGCTTAGTGATCTTGTTCAAAAGAGTCCTTAAGATGAAAGCATTTTTGTTGCTTTTCCATTCTAGGAAAACAGTTCCAGATTCTATGTGTTTGTAAACTCCCCTTCTATTATCAAAGATTGTTTTAAGTATGAATATCCAATAGCATATTCTAGAAAATAACTTTGTAGGTACAATAAATGTGATGTTATTCTCTCAAGCTGAAATCATTTCAGTAAGCTACAAATAGTAGGTTTGGGTAAAGCAACCCTGTAAGGAAGAAATTGAACTCAATACCCTCTCTTGTATCAAAGAAATTCAACTCCAGGATGAATAGATTATCCCTATTTCACATCCCAGGACTATTTCCACTTCTACTACAGCCTACTTAGTTTAAAAAAAGAAATCTTGGCTTCAAAGGGGATTCAAAAGGTTAGCAAGCTTAGGGAGATGGAAGGAAAAATGTTGTAACTTCAGTCACAACATACAGAAGCGATGTAGTGTGAAAGGTAAGAAGTTTTATAAGGTACTTGTCTTATGTTGATAGGCCTGGGTGGGGCGGGGGGGCAAACCTCATCAGAGCTGTATCAGCAAGAGGTCAATGGGAAAAACTGACAGTGTTTCTGCTGTCCTATGGTTCTAGGAGTGATATTTATTACTCGAAAAATGAAAATGGGGCTGGATGAGGATGGAATGGGAAGAAGGGTGGGAACAAAATTGTTTTATAGCATAAATTAAAAACCAGTATACTTCACAAGTTCAGGTTTTTATATCAGATTTGCTTAAGTGGGGCACACATACCCCTGACATCTCAATCTCTTCATGAAGAAGCTAAATGATGCCAAGATTTCCCAGCCTTTTTCTTAATTATAGTCTACTTTTGATTTACCTAAGTCTTGTTGTTTAAGGCAAGTGGCATAGATGGGCATGAGGTACTGACAGGAGAAAGTGACTGAGAATGAAAGTTATTAATCAGGGTAGGGCCTACCAATTAGTGCTTCCCTCCCCACTGGGAATCCCCCAAAACACAAAGGGAAGTGAAAGTTACCAACAGTTTAGAGATAGAATAAGTCAGATTTGGAAGTCACAAGCAGCTTGTTGGGAACTGTTGGACTGGATTTTTAAATTCATTTCTAAATCTAAAATTCTGTGATTTTACATCACTCTCAGTCTGATAAGAAGGTATTTAAAAAGCATAACCTCATTATTTGCTTGTGTTCTTTTCCAGCCTGTTTTTGGAAGTACTGTGTTCAGAAGAAGTAATATTTAAACTTCAAAATGAATGGATAACTTTGGTAACTGAGAGCCTACATGTGAAAACCTGCTACATCTGAAGATATTTCAATATATCATCCTCAAAAGGGAAATTAATTGAACAACTGTTTGGCCACATTTTCGCTATGCATAAGAGATCTAAAAGAAACAAAGATATTTTACATAAGATCATAATGTAATTAATATTTTATACTAGAAGAACTTCCTTAGGAGGTTATTCCTTAAAAATGTTGGCCTTTTGAGTACAAATTTTAGTTAGGTACAAGCTCATGAAAACTCTTTTGGAAAACAGGAGAGGAAGCAGGTATTAATTGTTTTCATTTAAACTGGGAAAGAACTATAGGCCTTCCTGGTCCCTATTCTAAGACTCATAATAATCCTGATTTATTTCTTAAGTCATCTGTTCAGCTTTAAATGGTTTATATGGTTAATACTTCATGTAGATGGAGCAAAAGGCCTCCATTTGCCTCCATTCTCTTAAAACACACCCAATTTTCTTCATTGTATTTCTTTAGACATAAATGGAGGGTAAAAAAAAATAGAGAAAAAATCACTGAAGGAAGTCAGTACAAAGATTAGTTTAATTTATGATTTTTTACAATCAATTTAATTTTAAGGCACATGAAGAGTACATTGATGTTCTGTGTGTATGTCTAGATCTTGACATTACTTCTGCAACATTTGTATACTAACTGCTTCTATACTACCTAAAAGGTTGTATCATAAAACTTAGGTTAAAGTAATTCCTAAAAAGAGGAGAAGGTAGAGTAAGAAGTCCACATTTTGTTCTCGTTGACCCTATTGACAATTGCAACATGAAGTAGGCACTGGGATTTCAGAGGTTAATGGCTAAGGAACACATGACCTTTCCCTCAACTAGCAATATTCCAATGAATAAAAAAAAGCAAAGTAGTTTCCACTTGATAAGTGTTTTGTTCCTTTGAAACCAAGTTTTTACTTTGGGCATTTATATCTGTAATGTGTGTTTCACTACAGCCTTTGTGAATTCTATAACATGTATGCAGGATATATAAATGGAAAATAAGCATTTAAGTCAACCATATAAGTTACTTTATATGATGAGACAGAGACACATCCCAGTAGGCAACAATTTATACCTTGGCTGTGACTATCTTTTTTTTGTTTCTCCCCCTACCCTTGTAAGATGAGGGGATCAGAATAGAGATTCACTGAAGTCTTTTCTAATATTTTATGATTCTGTGTTCTGTCAACTGTCATTACATAAAGAATCTCCCATGTCACTGGTTGGAAGCTGTGTCTCTACTTCCAAAAGTCTTTCCAATACCTAGCCAATAATACACGTAGCTTTTGATGACTGGGTACAGGTATGGTGTCAATAAAACTAGAAGCCCTCTTTTTAGTCAACATTTTCCATTTTCCCCAAACTGCTGAAAGTGGTCAAACTGAGCTGTCTAATCTCTAGTGAAGGTGCAAAGAGATAGGGAAGTGACTCAAATACTTTAAGAGGAGAACACCTAAGCAATTCATACTCTGAACAGTCAACTTTTGAAAAACTGGGAAGTCTATCCCCAAGAATGAAAGGGGGGAGGGGAAGAGGTGCTATTAAAATTCCATATCTGACCCCTTTGTCTTCTATAAAATTTCTCCCAAATTTAAGCAAAGATTAAGTCTTAATGCTTTTGTGGAAGGTAAAACAAGGGAGGAAAGAAATCCATTAAGGTAAGGAGTGAGTTTGTATATATAAGATCTATTTGTTTTCACTCCTCCTTTCAGTGCTCAAGTCATTCTTCAACCCTTTAATACCTTCTTCGAGTTGAGAGACAATGTGGTATGGTAGAGGAATAGCCTAATGTAGCACAAAGCAGAGCTGGAAGCCCTGGCTTCTAATTACTGATATGACATGAGTGAGTTGTTTGGCCTTGAACAAATCGCTTACACTCTGTGGGTCTTAGTTTTCCTTCCCTGTAAAGTGATGGAGTCAGACTAAGTAATCTCTAAGGTCCCTTTGAGCTCTAAAATTCCATGAATAATTTTTTTTTAGTTCTTCCATGGACTATTGTCAAGGGGTTTGGCAAATGTAACCTTCAGCTGTTCCTTTCTTTTAAACTGATATTTCAGTTGTGAAGAATCAAGATATAAGATCATGACAGCTAAAAAATGTCTGAGAGAGAAAAACGAACAATAAAAAAAAATCAAGCAACAATTTTTACCGTAACATGTCCTGCTTTGAAAATTAAACCACTAAAATATGCAATCCTAAACCAAAGATTATAATAACCTGTTATTAACATTGAGTTGGACAGTGGTGTGTATTTCACATTAATAGATATTTGGTCTATAGAGACATGTGTACAAGTAGAACGCATACATGTTATTTGGCATTGAGCAGATCATACTACCAGCTTGTTTTTTTTTTTTAAGGATTGGCCATTGGCAAAACTTAAAACAAAATAGGAGAAAATTTTCTTTTTGTACACCATTTGATCTGATTCCATCTATAAAGAAAACCAGCAGAGATCATGGCATCACTTCATCCTTTTTGCAACATCAGAATATGCATACTCAATCTCCTGGTCAGCAGGGCAGGTATTTGTGAACTCATCTCTAGTGTAGGCATTGTTCAAATATCTCCATAGGCCAGTCATTTCAGAGGGAAACTCAAAATTCCTGTATTTCTTGGCCACAATCTGAAAACAAAGAGAGAACAATCAAAAAAGGGAAAACCCCAGTAAGATAAGCAACTGTATTAGGCAGTTCTGAAAAGGATAGCTTTATCTTCTTTCCCAGTTCCTGAGGTTATCAAACCAGAACAAAAAATCTCCACAGAGCTGCATTTAGGAAATGAAAAAGGCCAGTTTGGGGCTCAAAAAACAATGTCATTTTGTATAGTCCTGATGAAACTCATTATTGAGATCAGCATGGGACATATGAATGTTAGTGAGGCCTTCTTATTGATAAAGAGTCAACAGGAATGCTAAAGAGTAAATAGAAGTCATTGAAATCCAGGGCCAGTGGAAAGTTCCAAAGTGAACATCTTGTAAAGCTCGGGTTTTGAAGAATTGACCATCCAAGGAAATTAATGAGAACTTACGACTTATATATCATAGAATTGGTGTCAATCAAGGAATTAATGGTGTTTGTATAAAGTGAAAAATCATTTGCACCACCTAAAATTGCACCACTGTGAAATTTATTTAAAAGTAAGTAAATTAAAGATAGAAGGTGAAAGTATTTTAAAGGATATTCTACTATTCAAGGAGTCAGAGAATCTATACTCCACAGAAAGTTATTATCCACATGATTTAAACCTGTCAGGAAGAGCTACCCCTTTTCTCATTTAATGTTTTTAATCAGTTCCTGAGTCCTTTGAAATTATAATAGTAGTGTGCTCTTCAGAATTATGAAGATCAAATGAAATAAAATATGAAAAGTGCTATGTAATGTTAGCTATTATTGTTGTCCTTCTTGTTTAAATTTTCTTTCAGAAGCATTCCAGGTGGGTGATTAGCATGTTTGAAATTTTGTGGACACCCTGCTTTGACAATAAATTTGGTGGGACTTATAGCAACTGAATACTGGTAAATGTTAAGGACATCACCTTATGTAGTTGTAATGCTTATCTCCCTTTTCCTTATCTATGCACCTCAATAACATTGGATTGGCTTTTTAGCAGAGATTAAAAAGCATTCAATAAATATGTTTAAGTTTAAAAGACAAAAGAAAGATGAATGGTGTATATGGTGCTATTACATATTACCAGCAATGGCTTGTGTGCATAAAAGACATCATCAAGTATATATACATATGTATATATGTGTATATATATATATAATATGTATATATGCATATATACACATATATGTACATAAAATATACACACATATATGTATGTGCATACACATATGTGCATGTACGTGTATGCATACATATGTATATGTACATATATAGCATATATGTGTGTGATATATGTATGTGCATATGTACACACAGAGATACACACACACACACCTGTGTGTGTGTTAATCATTAGAAACAGAGGAATCAGAAAAAGTAGGAAGAGGGAAAACAAAAGGTTCCTACATGAGGAATAGTTAAATGTACTAATAACTGCTTCAGTTGGTCCCAATGCTATAAATGATCTTAACTTAATTTGGAGACATCATTCTTTTTCACTAAAATTTAAAATGTTTTTTGTGATGAGTTGGGTTAAGATCAGGCCATACCAATGGTCAAAGGAAGAAGTGGAGTCGACAAATCTACTGAACATAAGTGATTTGAAGGCAAGAATCCGAACTCATACTTTGCTCCTCTGCTACTGCAGGGGCTCCTGAATTCTGTACACCACAGACACACAGTAAATGTCAATAGAGATCAGAGCTACAGTTAGTTCTTTCTTTGAATAGTGTGTGAATGTGTCTGACAATGCAGAGGTTGTGGAGTTGAGAGTGACAGCAGCAGTTAAAGAATCTAGGGAATCCTTTTTTAAAAGCTAGTAGCAATGCTAACTCCAGCTCTAACAATATGAACTGCTTCACTCCTATTTCTGTAATTGTAGGTAGGCTAGGCCAAATCCTGAAAAACATGTAAGAGGGCAAATTGGTGATACAGAGTCATTGGCAAAATCATAAAAATATACAACACCATGATGAAAGAATACAAAAAGGAAGCTCTGAATAATTATAATGATCAATCTTGGTACCGGGGAACAGATAATGAAACATACCTCCCCATTCTTGGCAGAGAAGTAAGGGACTACTAGAGAAGAATGTTGCTTACATTGTGAGATACAGTTACTGTATTGATCGGTTTTGTTTGTTTTTCTTGCTACAAAGAACTTAATGTGGTTATGTGTAGAGGGATGTTATATAAGGAAATGACTATGACACAAAAACAAAAGAAATCAATAAAGCATTCCTCAAAGAAAGTAAATGATTTGGAAGAACACTTCTCCAGAGCTAGAGAGGAATTTTTTAAAGACTTTTAAAGATTCTTTCTAAATCTTGCAAAGATCGCTAAAAAGGATCAGTTGCATTCCTAAGAAACCCCAAGGGCAGTCCAACTGTTCCTTGCTATCCTTCCTAACTGCTAGAGCATTGTCTGTGGACATACTGAGGCAAGTGTCTGTTTTTACAGATCTTCTCTTTGAACTATAGGAGTAAATGTAGAAAAGTATTAACAATGAAGGTAAAGTGAATGGGAGCAAGCCCAGGTACCTCATGAGGCTGTCTGCCATCTTGATTTCATGAATATGAAATGGAGGTACTGATTACTAGAAATAAGAACAAGTTGGACTGGTTTCAATTTGATTAGTGATTCTAGGGGTTTTTTAATGCCTGGCCAAAAATAAGTGGTTTCTTCAGTACATGTGAGAAGAGAAATCCAAACCTTAATGATATGGAGCTTAGGTAGGAGATTACAATCTGCTAAACTGAGTTCATTCCCATCGAGGAACTTCCTCTTGGAAACAGTGATGTCTTCTGAGCTGTATGCATCAATTTCATCAGGCAGAGGGGTATTTAAGTAATTATCTAGTTTCCTCAAAGCCTTTATCAGATTCTTTTCCAAATCTAGAATCAAAAAAGGAGAAAAATTACAAAGAAGCACAATTAGAGGTGATGTCTGGTTCAAGAGATAAGTTTTTTGGGTTTAGGAAGTCAATTTAATTCATTCCCTTATGTAAGACAGAGGTAGTTAGCAATGTTGCTACCATTTGAGAGACCTGAGAAGCTCCTACCCATAGGATGATGAACCCAGGTGAAGGAAGTCTCACAACTATGCTTACAGGGTACATTACAAATTTATGTTAGCCAGCTCTACGTGGGCCCTTACTACAACAAGGCAATCCTTTTATTGTTCCCAAATTAATTCTCTATCTCATTGCCAATAGAAGCTGTTTCAAACTTTTTCTTCTCTCCTCAAGCCTCCCACACCTCCTCCATCCCCTCTCTGCTGAGTACCTTGCATCTTACTTTGCTCAAAAAACTGAGACCATTCAATCTAAGCTCCCTTGGTATCCATTCTCTTCATCTCAAAACCCCTTGACATCATCTGCTATTCTCTTCTCCTTTCTCCCCAGGCTATCACAAAGAGGAAGCCCTTCTCTTTCCCAAGCCCAATCTCTTTCCATTTATACTTGATCACATCCAGTCTTCTCTACCCTAGCAGATTGTATTTTCCTCATCCCTCCTCTTTTTCCAGAATCTTCAACTTCTCTGTCTACTAGTTCCTTCCATACTGATTTCAAACACGCTCAAGATGTCACCATCAAAAAAAAAAAAACTTCTCCTTTACTAGAATCTGCCATCCTCTCAAGTTATCATCCTTTATTCCTGTTCAATTTCTCAGATCTTTGCCCTTCCACTTTCTCTCTTGTCATATTCACTCCTTAATCTTTTGTAATCTGACTTCCAATCTCATCACTCAACTGAAACCATCCCCTCCAAAATTACTGATGACATCTTAATGGTGAAATATGATGATTACCTTTCTAGATCTCTGTAGTATTTAGCACTGTTCACTACCCTTTCCTCCTTTCTGGGTCTTTATTATGACATTGCTCTCTCCTGGTTCTTCTCCAATAGGTCTGATCCTACCTTCTCAATCTCCTTGGCTGTCTCATCATGCATGCAATGCCTCCTAACTATGGGTATACTTCAAGGCACCAATCTGGGCCCTCTTCTTTTCTAATTTACACTTTCTCATTGGTAACCTTCCCTACCAAGGCTTCCTATTGCCTCTAGGATAAAATATAAACTTTTCTGTTTAGGTTTTAATGTCCTATACAACTTGATATTTTTCTAGCTTCATCTGGAATGACCTATACTAATAAGATCACAGCTCTGGGTTTAAAAAAAAGTTGCTGTATTAGTTGCGTGTCTGCATTTGTGGTTTCTACACCAGATGTTCCTTCCACTAATGAAATCTCAGCCTGTGTTACAGTCAAAAAGAACCTTAGAAGTCATCTTGACCAGCCCTCTTGCTTTAGAGGTGAAGAAATCGAGTAACATAGAGATAACATTATTTGTCTAGGATTACACAGATAGTGTTTAAGTTTCTGGATTTCTAGGCCAATGTTTTTCCCATGATTCCAAATTATCTAATAAAGATCCTTCCCTCCCCCCTCCAAAGAGGAGAAAACAGAGGAACTGTGAGGAACTCACTCTCATTGGCATCCTTTCTTGTGTTTTTTATAAACGCAGAAAATTTTGCAAATACATCATTTCCTGCAGAGTTTGATTCCATATGCTGGGTTCCAAGCTTAGGGTACCTACGGAGGTCAAAATGAAAGATGTCACATACAAGAGATATTCTGAGTCGTTGCTGTTTAGAAGGTAGAAATCTTTTTCTAAGAGAAAAAAGCAAAGGAAGACCTTAAAGTCTTTCCCTTCGAGGACTGTCCCTCAGCCTCTCAGGGAGTCTTCCTAATAGCATACTAGAAAGGGTTGTTCTAAGTGACACTAGCTCTGAAGTCACCGGGCACTCAGAACTAAAAGGATTCCCATCTGTTCCACTCCCACCCAAGTTTCTGGAGTAGGATATAGACATAAATAGTAATCACCAAAAGTATTTACTAAGTGCCTAATGGTACCATTGTGCTAAATGTCATACAGTGTGCAAATATACACCAGTTTTACAGTCTCCTTTGTCAACTGTTAAGTAGTAGGAACATTCTCATCAAAATATAAATCAGTCAGTCAATCAGTTAGCATTGTTAAAGTACCTACAATATGCCAGGCGCTATGCTTAGCACTGGAGATAAAAAAGAAAGGCAAAAGACAGTTCCTGCTCTCAAGTAGCTCATAGTTTAATGGGGAAACACAATATACAAACAATTATATACAGGATTAATTGGGGGTAGCTCCAAAAGAATAGAATGTAAACTTAGCTCCTTTCTCAGCAGCCCTTATAAGATTTTACATTAATTTATTTTTTGGAAATATCTTAACCAGACTAGGCCATTCATTTCCTATGAAGTACCTTGGTGGGGCTAATTTTTCTTCTAAGAACTCCTCAATCTTATTCACATCTGTCTTTACTTCTCCATCAAAAGTCATAAAAGGTGGGTTTGTTCCAGGAGCCAGATCCTGCAAGTCTGCAGGTTTCCTAAGAGGAGATGAACAATGCAGTTAGTAGGAAGCAGCTGCTTATTGGTACTCATTTCCCTTGCTTAGTGTATCAATCTGTTCTAATTTTGCCGGAAATAATTCTTGTTATTTCAAAGCAAATTGTCATGTTCTGATCATTTTCAAAGGCAAGGGGAGCAAAAGGATTTCTTAAAATGATGGGTTTGATTCCCCTGACACAGGGATTGAAGAACAGCTGGATCCATCAAGTTGAGCTGCTCTACAGTATGACCAGCTCCATATTCTAAATGTATATGGCTGACTCTGAGTTCAAAAGGAGCCTGTATTCACTGCAGGGGCTCGCTCACCACCTCATACCCTTCTCCTCTCCTGAACTATATACTTTGTGCCAAAGTTTGTACTCAAGTTTTCTACTCATGTATGTATGTTGAGATAGAAAGGTCTGTTCATGTTATTCCATTACAGGGGCAGGGGGAGGTACACGGGGGATGAGAGGAGTACAAGGGAGAAGGTGTGGGAGTGGGGGAATCAGGAGAGTATGGAAAAGGGAAAAGACAAAAGAAAGAGAGATGGAGTAAAACTAGTTACAATCATTGAAATTAAAATACTCTATGGTCCCCTTACCTTTTCAAGTCCACTGTTGTAACATTAAATATAACACCTTTTAGCCACAGTATCATAAAGAGTCGTTGAGAAAATGGGCAATTTCCAATGCTCTCACCATCATAACCAGCCTGCAAATTTGAAATAGGATTTTTAAGATCTTCAGCTAAGGTAATTTCATGTTTCTAATGTCTAAACTCCACAATAGAAATGAAATGGTTTATGGTAAACTGTTGCTCTAAAGTATGTCAATTTTTTAAGTGCCTTTCTAGGACATTTTACTCTGGTCCCAAGTTCATGTAGGTGGAGTCTGACATGATCAAATGGAAGTGAGAGAAGTAAATGGAACACAGCAATAATTCAGCAGACTCTACTCCCAATGTTGACTCCTTTGCTTTACTGAACACTTATTTTATCTGTCATCTATCACCTCACCACTTCCTCATAGCAGCTTTCAACTGAGGTTTTGGGGAGGAAAAGAAATGGCAGGAAAGAATGGAGGAATGAGCATTGAGAATTCCTCTGACACTGCAAAAGACAAATGAAATATTGTTTTTGTCCTCTTTCAGGCCTATTACCCTCTCCCCCAACACAAACCTAAAACTCCCATTACAACTGACAAGAAGAGGATGATTTAAAATATCAGAGACTTGGGTTCAAGTCACAGCTCTGATACCTTCTCTCATATGACCCTGGGCAAATCATATCCATCTCAGACTCAGTTTTCTCCTTTGCAAAGTGAAAAGGACAGAAAAATAATTCTGTTAGTGTGAAATACTGCATGCACTTTTAGATGAAGTCACTGTCTTATTAGTTTTGCTTACTGTTGAGAAACCTCTCAAGAAACAGGAGTAATCTGTAAATGTATGTAATACAAATACAAAACATAAATAAAACTGAAAGAGACAACCCCCTCCTCCAAAAAAAAAGCAGAAGGGTTTGATGTGGGATGCATTGGGGTGGGGGGGGGGGAAGCAATGGCTCTATGGGTTCAAATCCTGCCTCTGACAAATGTTGCCTGTGTGAGTGACCTTTTGTAAGTCATTCGACCCTATGGGTCTCAGTTCACTTAACTGTAAAATGGGGAATTGGATTAAATTGCCTTTTAGATTACATCTAGCTCTAAATCTATGATCCTATAAAGCCTAAGGTCCTATCTAGCTCTAATATTCTATATGGCTCTTCTTCACTCCCTGTAGAATTATTTCCCATTGATTTTTTTTTCCTGAGAGACAGAAGAGATGCACATGAAAGAGATAGATAAGAAGTAGATATCTTACTTCTACTTCTCAATTACATAAAGTGAGAACCTAATCTTTTAAATGTTATGGAAAATTTGTCTCTTCCAATTCTGGAAACCTGGAGAGGAAGGGATAGGGAAAGAGTATGAGGATTGTCCAGCAGAAAATATGCATTTTATAAAAGTCTTGGGGGAAATGAAATAATTCCTCCCAACTTCATCTTTCTAATATGCTCTCCCTCATAATAATGAACAGCCTTTCCACTACAGATTTATGTTATCTAATCTCATCTGGACCTTCATAATAGCATGACAATCCCTCTATTCTTATTGAATTGATTCCCTATCCCGCTTACCATAGTAGCTCTCTCAAATCTTCTCTAGCTTCCCACAGCACCCAACCCTTTCAGCTGAGAAAGTTACCTCATATTTCTTTGAAAAATTGATGCTACTGGCCAAAAGTTTCAGTTTTCCCTCTCTTCTCACATCATCACCCACTATCTGTTCCTTCACTCCAGTATCAGATGACTAGATGTCTTTCTTGCCAAAGCCAACCTCTTTACATTCTACTTTGATCCCATCTCCCACCATCATTCCCGTTCTTTCTTTAATCCTCAATATCTGCTTATGTGCTGGATCCTACTCTGTTTTCTACAAATGTGGTCATGACTTGCGCAGGGTCACACAGCTAGTTAGTGTCAAGTGTTTGATCTGAGGCTGGATTTGAACTCAGGTCCTCCTGATTTCAGGGCCGGTGCTCTCCCTACTGCGCCACCTAGCTGCCCTTTTTCTTACTCTCTTCTAAACCCACTGCGGTCTAATTTCTGATACTGTTATTGATATGAAGCTGTTCTTTCAAGTTGTCAGTGATCTATTAACTGTTAAATCAGGTGATGTTTTCTCATTCCTCATTCTGCTTGACCTCTATACAGCTTTTGGCACTGTTGATTGCCTCCTAGGTACTCTCAACTCTCTGGGTTTTCATGGCGATGCTCTTTCTTGATTTCCCTTCAATTTTTTTCTATCACTTTTGCTGGATCTTCATTCTTGTCATATCTCCCAGGTATAGTTTATTCTTGTCATATATCCCAGGTGTAGTTATCTCCCAAGGCCCTGTCCTAGGCCCATAGAGTGCTGGATCTGGATTCAGAAAGATCTGAATTCAAATGTGGCTTGAGAAAATTACTAGCTTAACCTCTGCCTACCTCAGTGTCCTCACATGTAAAATGGGGTTAATAATATCATCTATTTCCCAGGGTTGTTATGGGGATAAAATGAGATTATATTTATAAAGTCTTTTTTAAGAACTTAAAGTACCATATAAATACTAACTATTATTATCATTATCTCATAAATTCCCATGGGTTTAATTATCATCTCTAGGCAAATGATTCCCAGATCTGTATTTCCATCTCTAGGCTCTGTTCTGGGCTCCACTACTGCATCTCCAGCTGTCTAGTGGACATTTTGAACTGGTTCAAAATGAACTGTTGCGATCCCATAGGCAGCTCAAACTCAACATGTCCAAACCAAAATTCATTATTTTCCCCCTAAAGTCATCTCCTTTTTTGAGCATTCCTATTACTATTGTGGACAACATCATCATGTCAGGTTTGTCACTTCAAATTCTTCCTTCACTTCTCCCTCTCACTTTCTCCACATATCCAAGCAGTTGCCAAATCCTCTTTCCTATCTTTACAAATTCTTCCTTATATGTCCTCTTCTCTTCAATCAAAAACAAACAAACAAACAAACAAACAAACAGCATTCTAATTCAGACTCTCGATCCCTCATTTGGACTATTGCAATTGTATTGGAATTAGTTTCTCTGACTTGACTCTCCCAATTCCAATCTATCCTCCACACAACTGCCAAGTTGATTATACTAAAGCCTGAGTTTGGCAACATAGAATCAAATATAAACTCCTCTGTTTGGCATTTAAGGCTCTTTACTACCTGATCTCTTCTGACCTTTCCAATTTTCTCACAATTTATTCCCCTCCATGAACTCTACAATCCAACAAACCAGCCTTCTTCTTGTTGTTTTTAAATCATCAGGTTTTTTTTTTGTGCATTAACAAGCAATTATTTTTGTCCTTCCCACGCTCCTCCAACTGAAAAAGCAATCCTTGTAACAAAATGCATAGTTTAGCAAAGCAAATTCCCATGTTATTCACGCCCAAAAATATTTCTCATTCTGCATTTTGAATGCATTCCCTTTCTGTCAAGCTCCATCACTGGTCCTGTGGCTGGTCATTACACTAATAAGAGTTCAAGTGTTTCAAAGCCATTTGTCTTCAGTATTTCTTTTATTATATAAATTGTTCTCCTCATTCTGCACACTTCACTCTGCATCAATTCATATATGTCTTCCAAAGTTTATCTGAAATTATCCCTTTCATATTTCTCACAATGCAATAACACCCCATTATATTTGTATACCATAATTTCTTTAGTCATTCCCCAATTGATGGGTAGTTCTTTAATTTCCTTGCTGTTCCTTACTTACGACACTCCATCTCTCCTCTTCATGCCTATGCACCAGCAGCTGCTTATGCCTAGAATGCTCTCCATTCTCAATTTGACCTCTTGACATCCCCACCTTTCTTTAATACTCAGCTCAATTACCACTTTCTGCAAAAGGCTTTCCCTATTTTCCACTTGAACATTCCCCTTTAAGGTTACCTTCTTTTTACTTGACATATAACTCATACATCTTTATTTATGCATTGTTTACCTCATTCACAGGTAAGCTTCTTGAGGAGAGAGACAGTTTTTATGGTTTTTGTCTTTCTTTGTATCCCCGGCCATAGTGCTTGACTCATAGTAAGTGCTTAATAAATGCTTGTTGATATTGATTGATTTGCCTTTCTGGCATTGGAGTGTGTGGGGAGTGAGATAATAGAGAAGAAAGAAAGGTGTCTGACTCTATAATGGTTCACACCTCCTCTGAGATGGGCTGTTTATTATCAAAGCTGACAAAGTAGGAGCTGAAATTCTTCTTCTTCTATCCCAAAGTATTACTAAATAAATCCATAGTAATGCAAGAATGCTGAAAAGAGCAGGATGAGATTTGGACAGACTCTTCAGTAAAGGACTCATGTGACTTCAAATGAAATCACAATACATAGCAAGAACAAAGGATACTTAATAAATCAATTCTCTATACCAAAGCAATGCAAGCATGACCTGAACAAAAAAGGAAGCCTAAGTTGCCTTCCTTTTGTATAGTGAGGAAAAGAAATGTGGCAGAGTAGAAAGAGGATTAGACTAGAAGTTAACCAACTTTGCTCAGCTACCTACTTGATATGTGACCATGAGCAAATTGCCTATTTCATCTGGTTCCCTTATCTGTAAAATCAGGTGGTTGGACTACATGGTCTCTAAAGTTCTAATTAAGTTCTAATCTTCCATAGTGCTGAGTTCATATGGTTCTAAGAGAGCACATTCCTCCATGAAGCTCAAATTACTTACGAAGAGGTATGATAAGTAAAGGGAAGATCTAAGGTACTTGAAGCAAGATGGAAGCCATAGAACCTCAGTGTAATGACCAAAGACAAAAATGTGACAAATCGCTTTCCCTAAACCTACTATTATAATCCACAATAAGAGGATTTGAGGGGCTATCTATATGCATTTTTTTCTTCTTAAACCTAGAATTAGAAAATGGAAAAAGGTACAGATATGAATCCAGTCTCATATGATTGGATTTAACTAGAAAAGAGAAAATAATGGATAACTATAAACCTAATTTTCTTTTCCCTTTGGGCCCCATGCCATGTGCTACCCCATCTTTCCTTCTTATCAATCTCTGATATATTTCTCTACATCAATGGTTCCTGAGCACAAGAAACACCTGAAAATTTTGAGGTTGTTATGGAGTTAGTGGGA